TTCTGCCATCTAAAGCTGAACTTTAATAGCATAGGATCCTGACAGTCTCTAGCTCTCTCTTCAGGTGACCTGCCGCAGGGATTTCCCTCCAGCGCCGAACTGCACTGAATTTTGAGGACTCAGCACTAAACAACCAACTTTCTCTCATTTCTGTTTTAGATTTGGGACTCTGTGCAAGGCCAGATCAAGTTAAGTCTGGTTCTAACTCAGAGCATTCTGAAATTTTGAAATGCAAACTTGCTGTCCTACAATTTCCCCAACAGTCTCCGTAAGTCTGATGACTTCCTACTCTGCTGCACATTCCTGAGCCATTCAGCCTGGGCTGCTAATTCCCACATGACTGCCTTCTGCATGTGAGCTCAGAAATAACAAGGCAACTCTACCCTGCTTAACAAAGAAGTTTAACATTCAAGAGTTGATTTTTCTGAAGAGTACTGGCAAGTTAGCTTATCTGAGACCAAGAAGTAAAGCAGTCAAGCAAGCAGGCAAGACATGCACGTTCATTCCTGAGGACAGCGCCACTCATTCACTCTGGCTTCTTCTCATAGCTAAACGGACAATACAGCAGATTTCAAGTTCCCTGTGGGCGCTCACCTTCCCCTTCTCGATCCCTCTCTCTCCTGATGGCCTCCATACCTTCAGGGCACATGGAAGGTACTTTCCCAGTCAATTTGAGGTTCTCTAAAACAATAAACTTGATCTTACTTATAATAGTCTTCAATGATGAAATTCATGTTTTTTGATGTGGAAGGGGAATTACTTTAAATATGGCAGTGAATCCCAAGTGGAGAGGGTTTTTCTTCCTGAGGGACATTGGCAGTCTCTAAAGATTTTATTCAGTGGTTGCAACTGACATCTAATGGGACACCGCTAAGCATCTGACAGTGCACAGGATAGCCAGTCACAAAAAAACCAGTCATGACGAGGCTGAGAACTCCTGGTGTCCTGGGTGAGAGACTGGGCTTCAGAGTCAGACTGCTTAGGCTAACAGCCCAACTCCACTAGGGCCTGGTTGAGGGGTTTCTGTAAAATGTGAATGATAACCTAGCTCATTGGGTTGTCGTGAACTTTAAAAAAAATGTATGTGCATAACTTCTAGGATAATGTCTAACACATATTGAGAGTACAATGCATGTTAGCATTGACTATTATTGCTACAAATTTATCTCAGTTCCAAATGAATTATAAGCTAAGTGTACTGAATTTAGAGGAAAAAAACCCAAACAGGATTCAGAGCATATAGCTTTTTGATTGGGGTCAAAATGATGATAATAGTACTAACAGCCATAGCCTTTAGTTTCTCAAACTCTTTTTTAAAATGCCTCATCTCACAGGATCTGGGAAGAACCCCTGATGTTGATTTTTTTTTCCCCCCTGCTTTATAGCAGAGAAACTCCGTTTCACATAAGTAAGTTGCCCAGGACCTGGGACAACTCAGGTCTTTCGACTCCAATCCCCCTGCTATTCATGCAGGGCCTTTGTCTATTAGATTAAGATTCCCCTTCCTTTCTCTATTACCCCCAACAACCTGAAGGTCAAAATAAAATGTGAGGCCCTGAGTTCAAACCCCAGTGTCGCCAAAAAGATATCAAAACATACTACCAAAATGTACAATGATCTATCTCATATATGGTTGGTGAGTACACGTATCTATCACTATGTCTACAATAAAATTTTCTATATGTAGTTTTTTAAAAAAACAATTACAGATTAATCAGCTGATTTTACTTAGTTTACATTAAAGTTAGTGATTTGGGGTTTAAGGATCATGATGTAAATGGCAAATGGATAAAATTCCTTAAGATAGTGGTTTTCTAGGTTTTTTTTTTTTTTTTTTGGTAATGGAGAAGGCGTGAAACTCCCATGACCTATGAAGCTTATAGCTTGCCATAACCCTGCCATGACTAAGCCCTTGGTCAAATTCTACCAACAGCTACCAAGGTGTCATTCATTGGAACCCAGTTTCCTTTGGTTCCATTTACTTTGTGCCAGTTGGTAAACAAGAGACTTTAATGATCACATTGTTGGGCTTACATGGTATAATTGGCTCAGCAATTTTCCTATGTTCCTACCTCCAAGTGTGAACACTGCAAACATGTATGGTAAGATGTTTTCTATTATTTTTTTCTAATAAATATTATCTGTTACACTATGAGAAGAAAGCCAAGGAGCATCCCTATCCATTTCTGCGGTGTGTCTTACCTTGGAACACTGGGTGGAGCCCTTGTGGGCCGGGATGGAACTTGCGGAGGAGCTCCAAATGAGTCGCTGCTGTTGGGAAAAGGAGGTAATGGGCCTGGACGGAATGGAACTGGGGGAGCCCCTGAGTGAGGGCCTGGAGAGGGAATGGCAGGAGCTGGACCTCGGCCAGACATAGGCCTCGTGAGGGGAGCACTTAGAGTCGGCCTCCTTTGGGTTGTGGGGCTTGGAGGAGGTGATCTGAGGAAAAAGATAAATCATAGTTTGGCAATTGATACTTTCTGTCTGAATCAATCTTTACAAAAGTTTTATAAGTTCCTGACTGCTTTTTAAAATTCAGTTTTTGACTTTGTAACTCAGATACAAATTATGAAAGTTAAAGGTATAAAACACAAATAGAGAACAGTGAGTTTCCCTCCTTTTCCTCTTTCACTTTGTGGAGACAACCAGCTTCAGTTTCTGCAATATATTTTTTAACTAGATTCTGCTTGTATAAATGTAGACTATTTTACTTCTACATATAAAAACACTTTTTTTGTACATTCCAGAATACAACAAAACATTCTACAACCTCCTTTTTAAAAAGCTTCACATTAACTTGATTACCTTTTCATTTCAAGACTTACAGAAGTATTTTATGCTTTTAAATGACTGTATGAAATTCCGTGGTAAGAATGCATTGTGCTTCTTTGAAGGGAGGTGGTATGTATGGGACCCCCTGACTCCTGAATTTGAATAGCTTTTCCCCCTTTAGGTTCACAGTAGTGTGGGAAAGCATCCTAGAGAATGACACTGGACAAGCTCAGTAGATCTCAGGTGCTGCGGGGCCATCTCTACCTGCGAGAATGCTGGATCCAGGAGTCATCCACTGGAGGTGGCGCTGGGGTGGACACAGTGGCTGTGTTGATGTCACCAATGATCACAAGGGCTTCTTTCAGGGCTTGGTACATTCGGAGCATTTCATCCCTGCGCTGAGCCTGCTCAGCAGACTCCTCCATCAGAGTATTTTGGTCCTCTGAAGAATATAACTGTGCTAGGAGCTCAGAGTTTATGAAGTCTTTAACCTGTCAGTATCCACAGAAAAATAAGAATGAGTGATTGAATGGTATGAACAAGGTTGTGGCATCCAGAATCTGTGGACAAAGACCATGAATGTTCACCCTGGGAAAAGGGAGTCACCATGGATCTGTTTATTCTTAATTTTGTCATCCTCAATGCTCTTCCTCTGTCTTGTGGCTGTCAACACTGAAGGGTAACACAGATGAGTTAGAGGCCAAACCCTGTCACCACCGGAATAGGGTCTATTGGCTGTGCAAACATCTCATGCTGTTGTCTGAGGCTGCTCAGCTTATGCAAGAGAGAAGGTTCCGTGAGGTAATTAGCAATATTTTCAACAGAAAATGGTAATGTAAAGAAACCTGGGTAATAACACAAATTTTCTATATCTTGATATTCCCAGTCCTTTAGTTAGCTTTTATCAAAATCATTGGAAAATTATTAAGACTCCAAGTCTTAATGTCTCAACAGTAGAATTAGCACCAATAAGTGGTTATTTATTAAATTCAGAATATAATTACATATGTGTATCTAACTATACAAGTTTATTTATAGTATAGATGCTCTGTTTTCTAGAAATTTACAATAAAAGTAAGTTAACAGTGATGACTGCATGAGGTTTATAGTTATAACATATATAAAAACAAACCAAATCATGAATAATATCTATGAGTCTTAAGAGGGTGACATTTTGTAGCAGGATGACAATGGAGAGGAGGTATATTTTGTATAACACTGAACAGAGAGGACCAGTCACCATATTTCATTAAATCTAAGACATCAGCTATTTATGTAGCACTAAGAAAGAAAAATACATTATGAACTAAACTATGATAAAATGTCAAGATACCACTAGGTATAAGACACATCTTTATTTTAGAAGTATTAAATGTGAAAAAAAATGAGAATCAAGAAAACATGGTATGTCTGAAGTGCCTTCATAATTTATATGGTTTAATTCTCACCACATGGTGAGTTCAGAGACTTTTAAGTAACTTGCCCAAGGTCACACAGTGTTAGGTTGAATCCAAAATTCTCTGAATTTGAATTTGCAACTCAGAGATGACAACAGTTTTAAATATATAGCTTCATTATTTTTTAAAGGCATCAAAACAAGTAAATAATTCTATTAATAAAAAAATGTGGCTCACAACTTCATTGTGGTGAAATAAGAGTTCTCTGCACATATTTTGTAAGCCAAAAGTGATTCAAATAACTCTTATACAAAGCACTCAATATGCACAGTGTGTATTGGAAGTAATCTAATATGTACTGTGTTTTAAGGAAATGGTGGGGTAGAAGGTTTATGACAGTTATAATAGTTGTGGAAGGTCAATGTGGCCAGTAAACCTGGAGCAGAATGTGAAGTCCTTGAACGCTAAGGGAAAGTGTTTGAACTTCATCTACTTGGCAGAGGGGCATGATGAAAAGCTTTTAAGCAAGTTAGCGAACCAATAAGAGAATCTTTGGAAAAATTAATCTGGCTGTGATTGAAAAACAACTTGCAAGGGTAGTGGTAGAAATAAATTCATCAGAAGCCTGTTATAGGTTATTCATGAGATAAGAGCTTAATTTAGCCACCTTGCATTGGAATAGGAAAGATGGATACACATAAATGATATCATAAGGAAAAAATCACCTGGACTTAGTGCTGTCTGAATGAAAAGGGGAAAAAGATCAAAGATACGTCAAGCATTGGGTGTGTGGGAGAATAGAAAATCAAATGGCAAAAAAAAAAAAAATCACTTTTGGAGGAAAGGCAGTAAATTTGGCTTTAGGAATATTTTATTCCCCTTCTTGAAGATTTATTCACTTCTAAACACACTTGCAGGTACCCAAGGAGGCATGGACATTGGCACAAACCTTCCACTGTAGGGTATATGTATGCACTTGGATACATGGTGTAACTTAAAACTCAAAACCAGACAATTTTTCCAGCATTGATTGATCATCAGTCAGTTTAAGCACTTTTGAAGCTTTACATCTTGCTGGAGTATCACTTAGGATCTATTAAATACAATTTAAAAGAAGATATTTCCAAGAACAGTTTTAAAGCAGATCTGAATTAAGACACAACTGTCAAACCATAAAATGAAATAAGGGATTATTTCAGCATTCAGATCAAAGATCTGCCTTGAATCTTCTACATGAAAATGTTATACAACTAAAGCTTGTCTACTGTTTGTTCTTCCTGCATTTGGCAGTGTCTGAAACAGTATGGGCATTATTAGAACAAGAGAAAATAGCAGTAAAATCACAAGGTTTGAATGAGACAGGTCTGGATTTTCATCCAAGCTCTAACACTTATTAATCTACAAAATAGGGATGATGGTAAAAGCTGCCTTAACAGTTGCAAGGGTTAAGCAAAGAATGAATAAAAGGTGCCTAGCCTACAGTCAGTGCTCAATAAACCCCTACTATGTTTTTCTGTATGTAGGCTAAATTGGCATTAGTTAGATAGAGGCAAGGGAACAATAGAGAGCTATTGCAATAGTGCAGCTATCCAGTTACATACTTAAATACAGAGCATTTTATTTGCATCTAAGGAAAAGTTTAGACTCTTTCTCCTTCTACTCACCTAGCTTTGTGATGCTACAACTAGAGTTTGGAAAAAAGATGGGGGTGGGGGGACTTCGGGGAGTTTCCAGACACTTCAGGGACTTTCTGAGCAGTTCGGGTGTCAGTAGTACAAATATTTAAATTAAGGTCTTCTGAGAGACAGAGACCACGTGGATCCCTTTTAGGTGATAGCATTTAGAAAATACCTTACAGAACATAACAAATTAATTATACTTGGATGGGAAATATGAAGTGATATTTATGCTTTCAATTATAACATTTTATCACCTATACATCTGTATGGTTCACAAAAATTCTCACATACAAAATCTCATTCCAGCTCAAACTCTCCAGCTAGATAAACAGGCATTACTGTACCATGTTGCACTGCTCAGTGTAAAGGAATGTGAGGTCATTAAAAACGTTCCAAATGTTTTTCTCTTTCTTTCTTTAGCCCTTCTGTAGCAGCCTGTAATAGTTTGGATCCATTGTAAACCTTCTTTGTTATGATGGAGACCATTTTGATGCATTCACAAAGAAAGGAGACATTTTGAGGGTTTTCAATACAGTTCAGTTGCCAGGGAGACCTAAAAATTCTTAAAAATCATTGTTTCTAGATGGGAGGGTCTCAGCATAAAACACAGTGATCTCTCTCATTCATAGGACACATATAAAAATTTCACTGACAAATTTAATTTTGTTTAATTTTGGGGATGGGGGCTTGGTGAGAATTTTGACTCTCTCAGATCTCTACCTACACTTCCTTTCCTTTTCCTTGGGGATTTAATTCTGCCAACAACCAAGAAAGTTTTTCCTTCTCAAAAAGAAACCTCTGTGGACTTACAAACAAAAGAAGTTAGACACAAAAAGACACTGTATTATTCCAAAGTTCAGAGACAGGTAAGTGTAGTCTAGGGCACAAGTAATGAGGGAGTGGGGTTTTGGGGTCTTGGTGGGTCATGATCTTTTTTGGAACAGAGTGCTACATTCTTGGCTCATGGAAATAGATTGATGGTCTAAACACCAGAATAAAGCTATGAAAATAATGAACATTTAAAATAACACTTTACTTCAGACACATTGAAGTTACAGTAAGTTTTAAAACTAGGCCACATGTTACTAATTTTCCACCAAAGTGCCAATAGCCTGGAGAATGAATGTGGACCTATAAGGGTCCAGGGACACAGGCTGCAACACTCATTCCAAGTGTGAAATGCCTCCAGGTTTCATATCTATTTTTTTTTTCAATAAAAGCTTTTACATTGTATTTTGTATTGTCTAGATGTGTTTGAATAAAAGAAACAATGCCTTAAGATTTAAAACACTGTTTCTCATTCAAACCCTAATTAAACCTTCAAGTAAAATTAGCCCATGTGGCTATATATTGTGGGGTTGGAGCCCTCCAGGTTACTAAGGCAGAGTTACAGTTTTCCAACCCCCATCATATGCGTTATCTGATGTAGAATCAAATTGTGTGACAAGACCTGGATTGCAATCTTGGTGCTGCCACCTCCAGCTGTGTGATCTTAGGTAACTTGCTTAACCTTTTACAGCCTCAATTTCTTCATGTATAAGCTGGGAAAAATAACCAGGTTATCCAAAGGATGGTTGTCCAAGAAGTGTGAGCAGAATTAGGTGCCACTTTGCCACATGCATTTTTAGAATAAAGCTGGATCCATTTCCTTCATTCTCTGATGGCGAACTTCTGGTGGAATGAGCTGCAGAAAAGAGGCCATCAAAATGGGCTTGCTCTGGAGTGTTATGTATGTGGGAGCTTTCAAGTCCTGAACCAAAACTGCTGCTCCAACTGTAGCTTGTCCAGAACGGGCCTGTCATAAACTTGCTATTTCTTTGTGCTGCTGTTACCTGGTATGTTTAAGTAATGAAACAGCTGCTGCATTTCAGTAGACAAAGGCTTACAGTATGTCTGAGGCAAGGCATTTATTGCTGGGCTTTAAACTTCTTAAACAATTCCATATGGAGACCTGAGTGGCAGAACACTTAATGTAAACTTTCAAAGGAAACTGCCCACTGAATCCTGAACTTTATGAAAGCTGGCTGAAACATATTCTTTTTCAGAAGGCTGGGCAGCCATTCCCATTTCAAAGAGGAAAGGCCATAGACTATGAACAAATAGAGGACCCCATTTCAGGCATTTACTGGTTCTGAAGGAATGCCTACCTTTTCACTCAAAGCTAGGTTCAGTGGGTGGAATTCAGAATTAGGAGTCAGACACTTAGTTTTCTCATTGTGATTCTATTGCTAATCCTCTCACTTGATCATCTTTTCTCTTCGAGTACAATAATAAAAAAGTCAGCACATCTGCCATGGCACAGTGCTGGTGTTTCTGGATTTGTTTCTTTGTGCTCAATAGGGCACATCCAGGATGAACAAAAAGACTTGGGCCTTCTGTTCTATAAGGTGCTACAAGAATGTGAGTATTTTTTTAAAAGAGATACTTTTACAGACAGGATTACGTATATATGTTATATACATACATATTATAAATACAAAGCTATACCTCTTATGTATAATGAAAGAAAAGCAGTCATTCTAGACATGTAAAACTAACTTTTGGTAGTTACAAAAAGTTAAATTTCAAACAGAGACAACCATAATATCTTGAGAATTCAGCATCACCTGACACTTTTGCTTTCCCACTGTTCCTTGTAGTCTCTGCTTCAAGGTTTGACCTTGGAGCTCAGGTCTTAATTGAAGAGTCCTTTCTCATGACTCTAGCGTGAGGTCTCTGTCAAGGCAGCAGAGCTTTACCTCCAAGGATCATGTAGGCGGGGAGTCAGTCACTTCATTAAAGCAAGCAAATACAGCAGTGAGGGGCAAAGAAAATTACCTGAGATTTTTGTGTTTGTTTCTTGAGAAGGCAAAAGTAGGATAGATTTCAATAGGATTTTTTTCCCCCATTTTCACTAATTTATGTTAAGCTACTTCTCATAGTCGTAGACAGGAAGTGTGATTTCCTGTGCTGATGACTTAATATAGTGCAGAGCAAAGCAGTGTTTGAACTGATGGCAGTACTAATGACTCTCAGTGAAACAGTGAAAAGATAAATGATCCTTAATCAGGAAAATGTTTAAATAAGCAAGTGCCTGGATATACCACAGCAAAACAACCTGAATTCATTTAAGCAAAGTTAAGAGGGTAATTTAAAAAATACACAGACTGTTTAGTACTTTAGATTTTTCTAAATGGCTTCCAGCCACATTTACTATATTCTTTGACAGTTCTGTGAGGTACTCCATGTCCTGACTGAAGTTATAGAAGTGACTGACTTCACCTCAGAGGGACTAAATGATTTGCTACAGGTCGCACCGCAAGCCATTGACCAAGCATAACAATGTAATTCATAGTTTCCACATTTCCAATTTATTGCTTACCTGCTGCTTAGACTTAAAAGCATCCTGCTAACCTAGCCTGAATACATGAAATGTGCATAAAAATAAGACTGTTCACGTGAGTGCTTAGGCTTCTTACAGTCAAGGAATGCAATGCAGCGATTATACACAATGAATGGATTGTACTACTCAGAAATAATTTTGCAATGAATATTGAAAGGGCATTTATAAATTTGAAATAGGCAATCCCATTAATTTCTTATACTTACATTTGCTGCAGTACTTTCACATATATTATCTTCTGGAACAATACACTTAACCCTGCTCAGTATTTTGTGTATAGAGAACACAGACTCAGATGTACAGATGTTAAATGACTTGCCTTAGGTCAACAGAGTCTGCAGAAGAACCAGGTTTCTGCTGAATTCTATTTGGAGCCTCTTTTCATAACTTTTCCATCTGATTTTGATTTCTTAAGAGCAAATACATCATTGGTTTAAACAAAAATGTATCACCAGAAAATAACTGGGAATTAAACTGTTGATGTCTCACTTGTCAAGATTCAGAAAAGCCTGCTATAAAATGCCTGATTAGAGCCTTTTTAAATCTAAAAGATAATTTCTTTAACAACCATTATATTATTTGAGCTATAACAGGTTAACTACCAAAAGAACCAAACCAGGTCACATAATTAAAGCATCATATTCAGATACAAATAAACTGCTACAAATAAAAAGGGAGAGATTCTGGACAACATAAATTCATCAATGGCTAGTACATAGCAGGAGACTGAGATTTGTGGCTTTATCATACTTACCTAAAAAAAAGACTTCATATCTAAAGGGGATAAAGAAGTCCTTTCCCATGGCATTCCATAGTTGATAGAAGAGGAAAATAATCCATGAACACATATATGTACATATGTGTATGTATACCTTTAATCGCAAGGTCTATGAGCCAGGGCATCTGGTTTTATTGCTGGCTTTGCCATTCCATGAGTGTCTTATTTGTGCACTGATTTATTATGAGTAAATCTGCACTCTTCTAGAAGAGAGCCCATGAGGAATACCTAAGTATTGTAGAAGTTTTTTCCTCTCCTCATTCTCTCCCACTTACAAAGAAAAAATTATAAACCTGGGGACTCTGTATTTCAATTATCCAGAAAGTATCACAAACAGACTCAAGAAGTCAAGAGGAGATGTTTATGAGCACTTACATTATTGATCATAAGGTGCATTATGGTTTTTGGAATTAGATCTCGGATGCATTTGTTGATAATAGACATGTAAGAGTCCACGAGGTTGCGAATGGTCTCCACTTGCCTCTCCAATTGTGGGTCCATGGAAAAGTTTTCTGCTTGGCCATTCTCATCATTTTCAGTCTAACAGAAAGGAAGCAAACATGGATTATGTCATACTCACTAAGTAGAAAAAGAAGTACCAAATTTCAAATGGTCAACTTCTGTTTAGCATATTTGGAGTTTAGACCATTATGTGGTAATATCTTCATCTTATCACCCATCAATTAATTCTGAAAACAGATCAGAATCCTGCAGTTATTCTACTTTTAGCCTGCCACATTCTAGCAAAAGCAAGTGTTCTAGTTCTGAATGAATGTTGAGGTGAATAACCAATAAATAGTGCACCTAACAACGTATCTCTGGAGAATAATCTAATCTTAAGCCATTTGTAAGACAGCCAAGAACTGAATCTACACATATGCAGCTGTAAACCTCTGGGAGGAATCCCCAGGGATTCTATAGATTAGAAATAACCTTGATGGTGTTCTGGCACTTCTAGGTCTGCTCTGGATTGGATCAGCATTTGGAGCACTCCGGATTTATAACTAAATCTCCTAGGACTGGCCTGGGGCCCAAATAAGAGATATAGAAGATAATTCATTCTTCCATGCACTTGTTGGAATTTGTTATGTAAATCCATGCTTCTGTCATCACTACTAAGGGCTGGCACCATTGTGAAAAACTTACCATTTTAACTTCCAACTTTTTCTTTGAGTAAAACAGAACACATATATACACAAAGAATTTATTTATGCAACATGGGTGAAGCATCTGTTTTCTATACTATAGGACTTGAGTTAATTAATTTTGGCTTATCCACCCAGCAGCTGGACTGGAATGGCATCTTCATCATTAATGTTTGACCCATTGGCTTGACACTGAAATCAATTTACAACAAATGGTCTCCATTTCAAGTCAGGGTGAACCATCTAAGCACAAAATATGATACAGATACTGTTAGTGGTCTGGCTACGTTCTAGTATTTGGAAAGATTTAATTATGAATATAAAAAGAGGAAATAATTTATTGCTTCCAATGTGGACACAAAGTACTTTTCTTTAGTAACATACACACTTTGATCTGCCAGGTTTTCAATCATCTGGTCAGTTCTCGGCAAAGCACTGTGCCAAAAACTGAATCTATAAATGTCAAGTTTTCCCTTTCAATCAATGTGCATGTGTGAAAGGCATTTTTAGAGGCCTCAAAACAACAATAACCAAGACAGAAATTAATAATTATATAAGCTTCTCTCACTCAGGAATATCTAGCACTTTAAAAATATTAAAATAGTATGTGCTCACTGTGAAACAACTCTCATTCTCCAGTGCTGAGAGTGTGACCCCCATGTTTCAGGGTAACAGTATCTAAGGTATGTTACTGCTACAACAGCAAGGCAGAGGATTGGAAAACTGAAGATAGTTATTTCCTTATTTTTAAAAAATGACCTCTGGTCACCAAAAGAAAGAACTAAGTCAAGTCTTATGTAGTCCTTTTAGTTTTGTTTTTACTTGCAGGATTGACTTGAATGAGTTTGAACACAAGGTGCAGGTTTCCAGGTGTACATAAATAACATTTGTCTTTTTGCTTCTTTCATCTCTTAATCCTTTTGGACTAGGATGAGAGAATGATTAAGTTCTTTGCTGTTTAATCAGGCTTTATTGTCTTTTTTTTAAAAAAAGAGTTGATTATCAGAATTACTAGGACTTCTTGCAGTTAAAAAAACGTTTTTGTGTTTCTCTTCTACCTAAATACTACTAGCTGGTTGTTGCATCCTAGATTCCTGTGATTAAACAATACTTTGTTGATTTCTCTGAAATAGTATTTGCTTCACCTAGTATGTCATTACAGTCTTTTTTGGGTTTTGTTTCTTCCTTCTGGAATAAATGTGAGTGCTTGATGAGTCCTCCACATACAAAATGCAGGGTCTGGGATTCCAGTCCCCATGAGGGGCCTGCATGTGCACACTTTCACTCCTCTACTGATCTGCTGTACATCCAAGGACTTAATGGCTCTCTGTTCTATTGCTCTATCCATCTTTGGTCCTGTCCTATGGGGTGACACAACAGAGTCCTGTCTGAGTAGCATACTTTACAACATGTAAGTTTTAACAGCTTGATTGGTCTTGGTTATAGTAGGTGGGTAATACTGAACTCCTGAACCTTCTGATCATAGATCCACTTGGTATTTTCAAATTTATAGTCATAAACTATAGAATATAGAAAATTCTGCAGACATACTGTACTGAGGTTTCTGGGGGTTTTTTTCCTCTGTGTTCAGCAATTCATCAATAACCTCTGGCGTCTCCATTCTTTGCTCAATTAGAGAGGCGATAACCATCATATAACAGACTTGATGATATGGGAAATCCTGGCCAATCCCTTCAAATTGGCATAACTGGAAAGGTTCTTATTATCACTCCTCACCAAATGTCTGGTCCACTAGCTATACGTGAGTGGACAAAATATCCATCCATTTGACACAGGTTCCTGAAATCATGAGTGTCAAATATTTCTGAGCTGCAATAATTCATAGTTATAATATGTAAATCAGCATGAGAGGAACTATAGTGGTAAGTCTGCTCAAGACAGCTGAACCTAGTACTGAAGCTAGGTCCCTCTCTGGAACATGGACATCTTGAGGCAGTACCTAATTGAGAATGTGGGTATGATGGATCTCTTTAGCAGCATCATTAGTTTCATTTTTTTAAATTAAGATCCTCTGAATTTCTGCCCCTTGGAGACTAAGAAGAATGCAGGTCAAGAGAAATCACCTGTCCAAAGGCACTAACTCCTTTGTTCAACCACACTGGTTATAGTCGATGTCTGCTTTCTACTAACCAAGTCTTGATTAAAGCCTCAGTTTCTCTTCAGTGGTATTTGTGTTTTTCTGACTAGCAAAGCGCTGTTATCTATAGTCCATATTGGCTATTCTGAGGGCTACATGTCTTTGGTCATAAACACACTTAACTTTTCCACGTCCTTGAGAATGTTCTCTAATGTTTGAGTCTTTGATGTTGTTAGCCTGTTTTTCTTAAGTCTTTGTACCTCCTGTTCCAGTGCTTCTACTTTTTTAAAGGAGTTTCTTAATCTGGTTTCTGTCTGATCATTTTCAGCCATGATATGACAACCCCAGGAATAAAATGATCATAGCGGTCCATCCTATCTTATATTAGAACTTACATTCTTGATACTTCTAATCCAAGGAGGAATATCTAAAATCTGGAAGTTATTAGTTTCAGCATTGGGCCTTCCAGTTGTCAGTTGTACAGCCTCTGCTCATTTATTTTTGTTATGGGTTTGTGATATAGGCACTTTCAAGGTGAAAAGTTGGAGAATAAAAACATTTTCAATTCGGACCTTATAAAAAAGGTCAAATTATTTGTGCTTTTTAAAAACATGTTTTTCCATGTTTTCTACAAGCAACTCCACTTGCCTGAGTCCCTCTCTTCTAACTACTCTTTATCCACCTATGAAGACCTTTCATATTTCAATCTTGTTATACTGTCACCTCTTCCAGACAAGGTCCAGGTGGCCCTTAGGCCTTCCAACCTCTCTTTCCTCTGACCTTCATTGGTGTACTTGCTTTTATTATTTAACATCCAGCTTAGTTCTGTTCTTGTTCCATACTACACTCTGGGATGTTGTTTAACACTCCCTTCTTAGTGCCTTGCACAGAACTTGGTATATGGGAGGAGGAGAAGGGGGAAGAGTTAAAACTACAAAGTCAAGGAAACTGTACCAATGTGTCTCAGGGTGTCCATGAATGTATACTTGTTAGAAGAATGGGGACCAGAGAAACCCTCAAGTGGAAGGGGTAGGACTCACTATTATTTATTAATAATGAGGATATAATGATTATGAAATTATGTATATACATGAGAACAGATGACAGTTTTGTGAAGAAATTACTTTTCATATAATTTAAACCTCCATAATGACTGCAATATAATTCAGTTTGTCTTTCTAGTCTAAAGTGTTCTTGGATTTTGCTATCATATTTAGAAGATGAGGGTAGTACATTTCAGCATCAACCTACTACCTCTCCCAGGAACATTCAGTTAGCATTTACTGTGCTCCAGATATCATGTCAAGCACTTTGTGTACAAGAGCTGCACTACAACCTTAGGAGGTAGCCCCACTGTTACGGTTAACCTACAGAGGAGCATGAGGCTCTGAGTGCTGAAACTTGTTCAACAGATGTGAAATATGATTTTAAATTAAATTTTTTTGTTATAAAAAATAGGAAGTAGGAAACAATGAAATATCCATAATACATCAAGTCAATTCCATAGACAAACTAATAAATGTAAAAAATATTTTAGGGAAAAGGATATCTTTGAAGTACTGGTATTTGTAAGAAATAAGTGATTGAACTAAAAGAGAAAAGCGGAATAAATAGCATATGTTAAATAAGACTCTAGGAATATGAAACACCAGGAAATTTGTTTCATTCAGAGTTTCAGTTAGAAATACTGAATTTCTCTATTGCACACTCTTCTTATCGTTTAGCCTGACTTTACTTTTTTGCATACCAAAATGTATAAATCAACATTCATCCTTTAAAATCAGAAGCAATAAATAACATATCAGAATGAATATAGAACGCTGGTTTAATTCACAACATAAAGAGCAGAGGAATTCCAAAATAACCAGCAAAACAATTTGAAATTCTCTTCAACTTTTGGAAATGCTAGTAGACATGTGGCCACATGCAAATATTAACTATTCCAAGAATACAGTGGACATAACATGGAGCCACAGAGTTCAGAATGCAAATCTGATTTCTTTTGATTCTAGAAAGAGGGGAGCAATAATTACCCTTTCTAATATGTCTAAGATGAATGGGAAAAGATATAGAGATGGAATTTTTCTTTTAACCAAGTAATTGCAGACAGAAAATGCTCCCTTTTCTCTAACCCCACTTCTAACCAAATTCTCTTGCTCTTTCCTGGATGTATGCTGGTATAACTATGTATTTTTTCTTTGTTTAAATTATAGGATTGCAATTGGATTCTTTGCAGTCAAAGCACTGAAGTGACAGCTGTTTATCGTTATCCTCATCAAGGGAATGTAAAATAAAAATAGTAATTTGTCTCTGATCTTTGAGGCAAAAAAGAACAGTCTGCAAACATTTAACCTTTTATGTGCAGGTTCATTGATGCTGTTTACAAAATGTGAATAATATTGTAAGAACCAGCCTTCTTCTGAAAAAAATACAGTGGACAGGCCTCATTGCATTTTTTTCAAAATAGCTTTTGAGAAATCCAATTAAATTTAAGCAATAAAAACATCTTGTAAATGTGAAGCTTTTATAAGAACTCCTTTCTTATGAAATTACTTGCACAGTATTTAAGAAATGGAATTTTACAAAATTTTAACTTAAAAGTTTTCTCTTAAAGACTGCTCCTTTAACAGGTGAGGGGATGGAAATGTCTAATGAGAAATAATTTTCATAAACCTTGAAGCATCCATTATAGAATGTCTGGACTTCTATGAAATGTCTGTTTTTCATGTCTTTAACTTTTCATCTTTCCCCTTTTGTTAGTATGTCAGGCTTGTTTCTTTATGTCAGGCTTATCTGAAGACCACTGGAACCATCTAAGGCTGGTGGCTTCAACTTTCTTAAAGTGGAATAATGGAAATTGAAAGTATCCTGATAATAACACACACATAAGAATACAGAGCTATTGGCTGTGTATGTGCACATCTGTCTCCACCAGAGGAGAACACAGGACAATAATCTACGGATCCACCCAAGTGATTTTTCCAGATAACTAACACTTGCCCCTTTTAAAACACCTATTATAGTTATATAGTTCTCTACTCTGTTAAACAAAGAATAAAAAATATTTGACTTTTTCTTTGTGAATACTGTCATCATATTAAAACCACTATTACCATGGTAATGCACCTTCAAATTTTTTCAGCCCTGCTGTATTGGAAATGTTTGTACTGAAAACCTTTCCCCATTGCCAGTCATTCACTTTGAATTTATACAACCACACTTGTAATAAACTGTGTGCAGACCATGCCCCCAGAAATCCATGGAGGGTAGTCTTGGTTGTGGTCTGGCACTTTGTGACAGGTATTTTTATAGATCAATTCAACATATATTGAGTGTCTGGTGTGGCATAGTGAAAACTACAAAGGAAGTCTAGAAACAATCTAAAAGCCTCTCTAGGTAGGAAGGACACAAAGGAGAGATGAGTCATTGAGTCCAAGAATGTGCTGAAGGCATGCTCAGTGCACAGGACACCATAGTTGTCTTTATGAATGGGAATACTTGCAAAGGACCTCAAAAGTTGAGTGGAATTTCAAAGACTGGGACTGAAGGAACATGCTTGCTC